GTAGAAGGGGAAAAGAAGAGAATTTCCTGTACTCAATCATAGTGTTACGCTATAACAAGGGTATAGCCAATAGGATATGCCGACATTCTGCTACATCCGAGCTAACCTATCGAAACCCTGGTTCAGGCGTCGCTTGCTATTTACCTATCGCTTCCGCTTCTTAGTCTTAAACTTTAACAAGGGTAGCCAGTCTCTTGTCCTTCTCAACCAGTTCCTCGAGACCAGAAATCGAGAGGCAGAGTTCGTCTTCTTGGAGGAGGAGGAGCAGGATAGCTTCGAGAGTAATACCAGTATACTCTTTTACGCCACAATGGATAAGGCTTTCCATCACTGCTGGCCACATTGTCTGTTCCTTCGTAAGAGAGTTCTCTTTCTCGCACATCTTGTACGCCATCTTTGCGAGATGCTTGTTCTCCTTCATTATCTTTGAAGGCAAAAAGCCGTTAGCTGCATAGTCGTAGGTAGCGGGAATGAGCCAAGAAGGGCCTGGCAATCGCCCTCTATAGTAGGCTTGAGCTTTGGTATCCTACGATAGGACATTCCGGCAAACGGCTCGCTCAATAGGCGAGAAGATCTTATGTAGTAATAGCATTCGGACTTCTTTAATACAAATCTGGAATTGTGATTAGTTTCTGTGGTCGGCAAATATAGTCGGCAGATATTTACCTTCATTGTCTCGCTGCCAACGATTTTCAAGACCTCTTTCATGCCTTTCTCATTTGGTATATCCAGGTTCTCAAGGATAACAATCTTGTCCCAGAAGTGGTGAATAGAAGAGCGCCATTGATTGTAGGCCGTCGAAAAAGTGGAAGAGGATGCCTGGATAGCAAAGGTACCAATGGACTTAGCCCTCGCTTCCTCTATCTGTAGAGTCGAGAATAGATTGAGAACTGATTCCGAGGGAAGGCAATAGTTGCCAAGGCCGCCAACCCCTTTGTCGCACTCCTCGCCAACAGATAGATGCTTCTATTCCTACTCAATCTGGTCTTCTTTCTGGAATGTCAATCGTTCCTTAGAGTCGATATCGCCGAGTTCGAGAAACCAGTCGGCTTTATCAATCTTTGCCTGCTCATCGGGAGGAAGTGTTATACTCTTTCCAGTCTGCTTCTTTGTACTAAATCAGAAGTTAGTACTCAAATCTGCCGACTATATCCGCCGACCACATTTGCACTTACGCTTTTTGATTATACTCCTTTGTATGTATCTTTCTCCAGCCCTCGATAAGTTCCTGTTGCTCATCTTTGGCGAGGCTTTCGAAACTCGTATACTCCTTAATTTGTACCTTTTTGAATCGCGCGAAGGATTCGTTACGCGCTTTGCGGTATCGATCCTGTGCCCTCTTTTCTTCGTCTATAGCGGCAGTACGCTCTCGGTCTCGTAAAGTGTTTAGCTTGAGGGAGTACTCCTCGAGTGACTTCGAGGCTGCGCCGAGCTTTGCGCGCTTGTTTGCTAGTGCCTCTGGGGCATTGCTCTTGCGTTTCGGCATAGTAAGGTTTCTAATATTGGTGTAGTAGTTGAAGAAGAACTCGGTCTGATTACGAAGGTAGGTATCGACGGCGCTAGTGAAGGTACGGAGGTACGGGTGTTGTAGAGGTGTTGTAGTGAGGTAGTGAAGTGAGAGAGAGAAAGTAAATTTACCCCACTAGGGCAATTTAAGGTTTAGGCAGCTGCCGAATCCCGGCATTAGTCACGCCGGGCAACGATACTACCTATCTTTCCGGACTAATAACACTCTACCGCACCACTGTACCGCCGACGTTATTCTAGATAATAAGTATAAGAACTATACGTAAGTCGCCCCCCCTAGGCGTTATTAATTTCGAATATGAGTTGTTATCCGTTCGTTCGCCACTACTAGGATAACTGCTAGCAGGGGTTATATATATATATATATAGTATATAGATATACTATAATTAAAACATATATATATACAAGTATAGATATCTA